TTTGACGATTTTAAGAGAGAAATAGCAATTTTAAAATAAGAAAAAAATATAAATGTGGCTGAACCAGGATTCGAACCTACGAGTGTGCGTCTATATTCTTGAAGTGAAAGCACTTAACGACTGTGCCAAGAGGGATTTGTAATTTAGATCATTTAACAATTCATATCGATTTACAATAGATTGCAACGTTTACGGAATTTACCGACTATGGGGTCAAATGCAAGAGTGCCAGGTCAATGTTGTTGGACAATACTAAATACACATCCCTTGATATTGTTTGATTTTATTAACCTATCAATTGCATACTGATTACACGGTCAATGCACACAATATATTAATCTTCGATAATTGATCGGTAAACTTCGTGAGATGTACTCAGTAAGATTTGATCAAATTTAATTTGTCTCTATAAAATAACTATACTGACCGCTATAGCGCAATCGGGTAAACTACCGGTTTATAACTTGAAAATGTCCCACCTGTTGTAAGATCTTGACCTCGTGTGTCTATATATTTTTCTTATTTACATTTGCCACATTATTGAAGGTATGCTTATTTTTTAAAGTTGTTCTTTTTGTTGTTTTTTTATATGTTCTGCAAAGACCTAGACTTTTTAAATAGCATTGTTTAAAAATTAAAATTTAAATCAATAAATGTCATTTCAATGCCATAAAATTCAATACAAAACAGACAAATCTGTGTTTCTAAGTTGTTCCATATCCGCTTAGACTATTTTGCAAGCCATAATCTTTAAAGAAAGAATGGATCTAAAAACAATGGCAAAAGTCTGGATCGGACCATAGACCTCTAATATATGAGATAATCACTCAACCGACTGTGCTATTGCGGATATAACCAGAACATAGTGTGACTTTTCAAACCATAAGTCATATACTCCAAATTAATTCTCGTAATATATACGGACAGAACCGAAGTGGTATCGAAAATTTCAGATGATTGCTAGCTATAATGTATTCACAATTGACATGTCAATAAAATCAGACTATAGATATAATGTATATTACTGTTGTTAGATTGTTAGAGATTGTTTTCTAGCAGTAGAACTCCCCGGTTATTTTGCCATCATAGCTGAAGCAATAATTGCCAAAATATAAGAATATTTCACCAGGTTTATTCCGTTATTATATTTTGTAATGGTTTCTTTTAGTCATAAAACTACATTTTTACCATTTGTCTTATAATAATGGACATGTCTTGTGTGATTCACCTTTATTTCAGATATTAGATAATTCACCAAAACATATATCAGCCTAGTATACTGGATTCATTGGTGTACAGTCTGAAATATATAAAACATATTATAACACACAGGTCTTATTAAATTTCATTAAAATTCACTTTAACCATCAAATATATCAATTTTCATTGCTAAATGGAACGGCCACCAGTAAACACCTTCCTTTTTTCCTTTTTTGTTTGACAGTTTATATTATTTAAGCTTTCAGTTTACGTCCGCATGTATAATGTTTTCTAAGGTTATCAAATTACAAATGCTTAACAATACCGTGAAAAGTAACTATGATAACTGAAAGTTTTGCCGTTTTATTACACTTTTTAGATAATGTATTTTGACATATCTTTAAAGGTATATTCCAAAGGATTTACCGGACACAGGATCCTACAAAAATATACCACTAAATGGTTATTCTCAAGTTCTTGCATTCAGGTACATCAAATTATAATGTTGGCTTCATAAATCTTGCTTTACATTATACACAATTCAAAACCCTTGCAGTACACACAGTTTTGTTATATAATAGATTTATTAAATTTAGTAAGGAGTTGATCAGCAGTAAGTATATGTCGGACACAATGATTTCTTGATTGGACCACCGTATAAGTGACTGGACCCTTTTATTTCAGAACCTGCACCCATTCCTGATAATTTAAAGTGATGTCGATACCGGTTACCCCCTCTTTCATACCTTCAGTATAGAATAAACAAATATAACATAAAATGTTGAAAAACTGACAATACATGCATAATGGATAAACCAACTTACTCATATTCACAGAGGAAATTGAAATTCTTGTTGCAGTGTTCATCATTCCACCGAAAGTTGTCGTGTGAATAAAAAGACACGCAATCCTCCTCTCCACCGTTCTGGTTTGGCTCCCCGGGTCCCCAGTCAAGTATTTCAAACCTAAAGTGAACGGTTGTAATTAATTACAAACACTATTTCGTTTCATAAATATAAACTTAAATTACACAATAAAGAGATGACCATTTCTCTTAATTAATTCCCCTCCTCTATGACATTTTAATTTATCTCTATCAACCAACAATACCATAGCCCACGCGGAGACGAAGATATATTTGCGCGTCAAAATCACATAAGAATTATATCATGTTCAAAATTGATATTTGAAAATACTGATAAATGCCTCTTTTTACATCTTAATTGTATGTTTTCAATGTTTTCAGTACAGACTGTGAGGATACGTTACGTTTAAAATTCTAGACAATAAAGGTAACGAAGTATGTAAACATATGGTCATTATATAACTGACTTTTTCTCTTTTTGTTTAGAAATTTAGAAAAGACAAGTCATATGGAATAGAGCTTTTGTGTTGTCTTGTTAAGATAAGAGATATTATTCATTGAGTAAAAATTTATTTCCTAGATTTCAATAATTGTTTGCAATAAAAGTATTTTACGAAAAGATTATGATAGTATATCTTTAAATTAAAGGAAACAACAACAGCGGTAAAGATAAATTGTTTCTCCCTTCTAATATTTTAAACGTAAGTCAGTTATCCTAAAAGCATTAACCCTTTAGCGACGTGGTTGAGTATTGAGAGGGCCGGAGTTCAAAACCCGGTCACCACCTGAGGATTTTTCATGTTTACAATGTTAATGACCAAGAAGGAAAACTAACACAAGAAATATTAGTAACAATAAGATTCTCAGACTGTGTAAAAGCCAAGCTAAACATACTTTTCTCCAGTGTTATCCCAGATCCAACTGCCTTCTGATTTAAAATCATCACCATCCATCCAAACTTGGTCTATATGTTGGGCTTTTTGGAAAAAAGAGTTCATGATTAAAGGTCAACTCAAGATCTAAATTTACTTTGCCATTCTTCATTTAGAATTTCCCAATTTTAATTACCAAAATAATGTGTTATTAGAATATTTAATGTAATAATAATAATCAGCTTCAACTTTAAAATAATAAAATTAAATAATTAATACATAACTTAATATTTCAATTATATTATTAAATATTTAATCACATAATTAATTAATTCAAATATTTTTATAAAAAAAGCTATAATAAGAAAACTAAGCTAAATTATAACATCTTGTTAAAAATATCGTTAACGAATGCACTATTCAAAACGTGAGGTAATGAATGACAAACTTTTACATTCCTAAAACGCATTATCCCATAAAAGAAGACGATGCTAAAAATAACTATTTGATCTATCAAATTAAGTATTGTAACGCTTTTCAGTTTTATATTGTTTTAACATAGTGTAGTACTGTACTATTAAATATGTTGAGAATGCATGTTAAGATAATTGGATGGTTTGTCCGAGACATTGACACGAAGAAATAGATATACATTTTGGAATTCATTACATAATATACAAACTAAACCGTTGTTAAAAGTCACAACTAGTATGTAATATTTTAAAAACAGGTAACAGGCAAATTTGATGAATTGTGGTATTCACCAATTTTAAAAATTAACAATATTTGTTTTTACTGTCAACCATACGTTTATACACAAAAGTCATTAATGCGCATATACGCACTGCATTATAAACGCTGTATCACTTACGTATATACACACATTGAATTTGAAGAATACAAACATGCTTACTGTGGCGGATTTGACGGAGATAAGACTTCAAGAAATTGTTTTCATCACTGGTCATCACAATTACCAAGTGTGATTCTATAGACTCGCAATGCGCCTGTAATAAAAATAGCATGTTTCCCCTGGAAATTATAATCTCGCTTGATGTAAAAACATTTGTCAAAGAATAGAATAAACATAGCTTGCATATGCTATTATCATATTAAACAACATCTTTAAAGTCGACAAGCTTAAATGACAAGATTTGCTACAAAAAAGGTTGAAATTATATGGTGAGAAGTGCCATTGTTATTCAATGCACGTCATTTGTGTATACGTCATTTGTGTATACGTCATTTGTGTATAAAACATTAGACTACAATTTTACTATAGAACTGTTTCACTGCTTAGCGAAAATTCCGCCGATGGCAGGCTACCCGATATAGTTTAATACACATTCAGTAACTTATATAGAAAAACTAAAGATTAAAAGAAATAAACGTATAATGATGAATATAAAATTAACATGTTAACAGTTTTAAAACAGATGATTCCTAAAGATTATCATTTGTTAATAAAGGTTTCTGCCTTTCCTCAATGTCATAGAATTATATGTACTACTATCTTCAGACTGATTCTTGAGACTGACTCTAGTTTGTATAATTTGATAAGTGATTGAACGTCAAATATTTTTTTCATCAAATTTCAAATTTTGCATGTTTTTTTTTAGAAAATGAGTTCAACATAAATCAAATGATATGAAATGATCTAATAAGTAATGGATTTAGCATCGAAACACGAGGCTATCTGATATGTACGAGGGGGCATATCCCTCGAGTATCAATTAGATTGCTGAGCGTTTTGATGATCTTTCCCTTTTGTATCATAGTCAAACATAAAAACACGTTCCCTCTTGTCACAATATGAAACCCCAGAAAAAAAGTAACCAATGAATGAGCATCTGAATATTATATATCTATAAATTTCCCTTTACTCGCCATCACAATTAGCAAACCCCAGAAAAAATGAGCCCATCAACGGGCATGCTCTGGAGTGCGGTTAACTAATATACCTGCACTTCAGTTAACGCACAGTGCATGTATATGTATACGATTTAACTCTGACACATTTTCAACAGAAAGAACTATGATACAAATAAGCTTTAATGGTCTGACAAGCAAGTTAGTGTTCATGAGATAATTATCTAGCCGACTTTACAGTTATATAGATATTATTGACACATATGTTTTTATCGTCTGTCATTGAATAAGGCAAGCAATGCTCTAATAACAATATAGTTATAGTTGAAACTATACATACATATATAAGCTTCTTTAGCTCAACAAAACTGAAGAATACATTTTAGTTTCTGTATACCATCGAAATGCGCCATACCCTCTCAAATATTACGTCATAAATTTATAGTTAACGAGTCGATATTTTTTTACAGACCTCATGTGAAACGTACTTTAGCAAATCAAATACATGCATTTATGTGAAGACTGATAAACAGTTAATATAGTCACATCGTGATCTAATAATACTGACTCAAAAAGGTGAGCCGTGTCATGATAAAACCAACATAACGGGTTTGCGACCAGCATGGATCCAGACCAGCCTGCGCATCCGCGCAGTCTGATCAGGATCCATGCTGTTCGCTATCAGTTTCTCTAGTTATTATAGGGTTTGTAAGCGAACAGCATGGATCCTGATCAGACTGCGCGGATGCGCAGGCTGGTCTGGATCCATGCTGGTCGCAAACCCATTATGTTGGTTTTGTTGTGACACGGTTCAGGTATTATTGTATCAATGCCACAGTAAGGCCTACCTTGGCATCCGGCCAAGATTTCAGCTCCGTGAAGAATTGGTAGCAAGAGTCTTGGAATGATTTCCACCCAGGATCACATGCTTGGTACACTATCAATAAAATGTACACACACAACTATAAATTTTTATGTAATATATTTGTACATGTATACATTTGATAATATATTTCGGAAATATAGATATCAATTTTGAGTGCATTGTTGTAGAGTAATATAATCACTATAAGGCCTACATAGATAAGCCTATATGATCAATAAAAAAAGCATAATCTACGATATACCGTCCATCATTATACTATAATGCACGAAAAGTCAATATCTTTTTCAATTCTTACATACTTATTACAAGGGTAATTGATAAAAATATGTTGAACTACATTTAGCGGAGAAATATTTCCCTGACGTCAGAGCTATATTTCCTTGAAATAAAATTCATAACACTCATAACATAGGCGAGATAAATCTTTGCCATTGTTTTTATTGTCTACATATTAATGTGTATGATTCTATAAACTTTAAATTTTGTTAAAAAATATTTGTTGCATTTTATTTATTATGGCAAGTTTCTCGATTCAAATATAACTACTCCACTTCAATATAGTTTATTAATAAGTGACGCCACATGATAATTATAAACTGACGTCTAACATTATATATCTGCGTATTTTGCCCTAGCTGTTTTAATGAAAACAGTCAAAAGTCACTGTTTTGTATATTTGTTTGTATGTTTGTTTGTTTCATTTTACGCCTTTTTCCAACAGCATTTCAGTCATATAGGCGGGTAGTTTCCTAACCATCGTTCCTGGAGAGTTACACCAGTACCAGACTACCTTCCTCCGTGCTAAACTACCAAAGCATCTCCCGGGGACTGTTTTGTATAAGGAAATTGTGTTTGATGTTCGTAAAAATGCTCACAACAAAATGAGAAATTATTCACATTTTCACTACATGCTCGTGGAACACATTGCAATTTTGTGAAATTTTTCATACATTTAAAATAATATATCCCCATCTTTTATCTTTACAAGGTAAATAATTAACTGCTAATTATTAACTTTTATAAGTTCAAAGTTTTACCTGATATAATTGCAAAACACGTAAAAAGCCATACTATAAAATGCGTCTGCATATTTCTTAACCGGTGTTCATGAGCCAATTCCAGAATAAAGAATGGTAAACATTGTTTTAGACCATGTTAGTTTTGGTTTTCTTTAAGATAAGTAGCTGCTTATCAAAGATTTATATGTCAATGAAGTTTAAACTCAGTTTAGTCTCAGTGCAGTCTGTATAAAGATGAACATTACGGCGAACAATCATTCATGACATATATCTAGTCAATATCTTTACGCATGTTTAGTTGGTTTAAACATATTTATTCAACTTAACATTTAACAAGTGAACAATATTTACGAAGTACATTTTGGGATTGGGTTTAGTAACTAAATGTTCCTCAACAAAATAATTATACCCCTCATACATAAAATGTCATGTTTTCAACAATGATTAAATTGTAATAGAAATAGAATTCAGAGCAGAATCGAAAATGCCATTATTATTTACATGTTACAATAAACTGTAGCATATTTGTAACATACATGACTAATTATGTCCTATATCATGACCAATCGAAAACTTTAAATTACTTACAGCTCAGAAACTAACATTACAACAAACTTCACATTATAATCCTGTTTACATGTAGCTATTGTACTTCCTAATATGCTTGCAGATATTTATAACAAAGTTACCGTTTTTTGTTCACAAAACATACCCCCTAAAAAAAATAAAAAAAATCTTTTTAAAATTTGGGCCAATGTTACCTTATAAAATGTCACGTTTACCCTTTGTTAAAATTTAAGTATAGTTCCATCAGCAAATTTTTTATATAGCAGGGAATTTTTTTACAAGTTTTAAAAAGAGGGCCGAATAAAGCTAGTTAATCATTTTGTTATAAATTTTTAAGTCCAAAACCCATATCTAACTTTTCCGATGATTGTTTTTTTTTTTTTAAAATACCAAAGTTTTTTATTTAAAAATTAAATTTTATTTTTTCTTAATTAAGAAACTCAAGACTTGCCCTTGAATATTTTAATTAGGAAATAATAAAAAAAGGGAAGAAAATTTTTTTTTGCAAAATTTGTCATCGAAACCTTTTGTTTTTTAGGCCCTTTATTTTGTAACAAAGGGTTTTGGACCCAATATTTAGGGACCCCCTAGGAGGGTGTTCTTGCACCGATCGTCCACATAAAAAGGGCAACTTTTAGTTTTTTAAACATAAATTTTAAATGAATTGCATTTACTGAAAAAATGTTAACTCTTTTAAATCAAAAATTCTACAAAATTATTTTTAGCACTAACTGAATTTTTACATTGAAAAAAATATTGGGGGTGAACGTGGCACTGGTCAATATCATTACTGAAACTGTTTTCATTGTTAGCAAATTTTTACTCGATGGTCATTGGTTGAAACTGCTGTATAGATATTCATAATGCGGGTATATACAGAATCAAAATATGGCCCAGTTTTGTTCCTTACATCTTCTAGTTTTTGTAAACTATCAGTATACTTAGAGTTCTTTGGGTGAATATCTTTATTGAACTGATGTTCAGATCGAATTCAAATCTTTTGTGCAAAATGATGTAACGACTGAAGCATTAACTTTGTTATCCGCTTTAATAGACCATGTTTTCCCAACTACATGGTCGTTATAAAAGGCAACAAAAGTGCCTGATATAGAAATGGTGTATTTTTAGTACCAAGTAGAGTCAGCCAATTCTTTTATGTAGCGTAGCTACCTGGACCCGATTGTTCAAAACATTGGTAAATGATAACCAACGGATAAAATCATTATCCACTGGCTAAAATGTGTCTGCGGGATGAATTCTGTTGTCCAAAGGTTATCTAACGGGTAAAATGCGTTATACAGTGGTAAACTTTAACAAGTCCTATAACCACAGGATATTGCCCCTAACCAGTGGTTATTCATCATCATTTAAACAGTAAAATCATTACAACTTGTTTGAAACCATATTTTTTTACAAATATACGTTTAATTTTTCTTAACTAGAACTTTTCATTTGAAATTCATGTAAAAATTCAAACATTTCTAAAAAAAAAGTGCTTTTAGAACCCTTTATCAGTTCAATTGTTGCTGTTGCTGCTGTTGTTCAGTAAATTCAGTTAAAATGTCAGAACTTTCTTACTTTTCAATAAAACATACAAGTGTTAGTACTCATTTTCTTAGTTAGAACATAACCCATCAAATGGAAGTGACTTTAATTCAAAAGTTGAAAAAAAATGTTTTTGTTTTTGTTTTTTTTCTTATATGTGTCTGAGGGAAAAATAGATATATCGATATTTTAAGGTTTTTGATAGACATTTTGTTTAATTCCAAAATCATGAAAGCACAAAACATGCAAAGTTCATTCTTTGGGGACTTCTTGATTTTTCAAAGTTTCTTATGCATTAATAAATCGGCCATTTTGTTTCCAGAATCAATATTAACCGGCCCTGTTGTATTGTGGTACTTAACCAGTGGATAGAAACGCAATCCATTGGTTAGGTAGCTAGGGTATTGTCCAACTGTCGAGCAAATAAATTTTATCCAATGGATAGCTGTCCATTGGTTAATTTTAATCAATGTTTTGAACAACCGGGTCCTGATTGATAAAACGTTTAAGCAATATTGACTGACAATTTGCTTTGTATTGCAAAACATTTTTCATGAAGGATACAACCTGAAAACTAAGATTATAAATCCGCTCTATTGCATTGCAAGCTCTCACAGTAGTTTGGTCACTTATTTGATCAGTTTCAGATGAATTGCATGCAAAAAAATGATAAAAGTATTTCATTTCTTCCATTTTTATATACGTCCAAATTCAGATTAATCAATGAGTCAACGTCTTTATATGAGCCGTTCTCCAGGAAAACCTGCCAAAATGACATTGATTATGACGTTGGGAATTTCCCGATAAATATGACGTCATACTTGAAAGCACATGCGAGTTCAGTGACCTTTATGATCAGTGTTTACATGATAAATTTTGACATTTTCTGGATATTAAAATGGAAAACGATATAGAGGTATGTAGTATTTATATATTTTATCAACTCTAAACTAGGTATGCCGCACATTAATTGTTCAATTGTTCCCATATAGATGTATTTTGCGCAAGAGTGAATCAGGAAAATATGGCGCGTAAACAAAATAATATAGCGTGATTGTTGTAACTTAAAGTTATAGATCTACCGAACAACACAGTAATAAACATGCAAGGAGTCGGTTGATTTTGCTCTCATACATTTCTTGACATACTTGTTTGTCAGATGAAATTAATGTATTCGCTAAATTTGGAAGACTCTTCGGAGTACCCCACCACCACCAGAATGACATCGAATCAATATTTCAAAAATTATTTATGACTGTCACTCAGTAGATCTGGATCTCTATTATTTATTTTAATAATGTCAATATATTTCAACGAAGATAAGTTTTATTTAAATTTCAGAAAATTTAGTGTGAGCGGGGTCGGGCATTTCCGTACACCTAAGGTTTGCTGCTTATAATAAGGAGCAGATGGTCTAATTCCGAACTAATAATATCATGCAAACATTGTCTGACCTTTAACCTTTTAAACAAGACATATGGCATTTGCTCATGATAAACAGTAAGTAGGAAAATCGCGCCAGAAAAACTCTTGTGACTGCGTGCATTTCCGAACAGTGCGGGTCACTCGAACACAAACGGTGTCTATTTCCGAACATGACGGGCTTTTTAAAAATAACTAGAATCTAATTTATCTAATTTCGTTTTAATCTAAACAATTTAACAAGATAATTCATTCAATATCTTTTAAACATAATTATAACAAAACTATTTAATTGTCTTAAACACCAAACGATGACTCGGAGTATGGATGTGACCAAACACAACCAGAGACGATATGTATCTATCAAGTTCACCGGTTTCGATCTCGTGCAACTCTTTTTCAGCAGTAAACAGACACTCAAATGGGAAATTTGCGATGTCTTCCTCGTCCATTTCCACTGAAATCTATGTCTGTGCATTTCCTGTGGAATAAACGAGGGCAGTTGTCACACGAGATCCATACCAGCGGGTTATCGTCATTGTAAAGTTCTCCCCACTTGAAACATTTCATTCTGTCAATGTCACATTCGTATTCCGAGTCGTCATTCGGTTGAAAATCAGATCCACGAATCGGAGCTGCTAGATACGTCCATTTCTTTTTCCGTTTTGCTAAAATGTTGATTTACTTTTTCTGCCTAGTGCCTTTCTTTTTTAGTTTTTGCTGCTTTCTCAAAATTTCTCTTTGCCGCTTTTTTCCTCCCTTTCTTTTTGTTTCCCCTTTGCTTTTTCCTTCATCTCTCTCTTTGCGTTTTCGTAATCACGTTCTAGTTTTCTTTCTTGCTTTTCGCGTTCATTTTGCTCTTTAAGTGCTTTCTTTTCTAGCATTATCTTTCTAAATGCCTCACCAGTATCTGCCTTCGGCAAACTTAATTTTCTTAATCGTTTTCTTTTTCAGTTCTGGGTTTTTGGCATTGCTAGGTGTTTTGAAAAAATGGCGATTGCTGCCGGCCCAAGGATGGTTTTTTTCTGTGGGGGTTAGCGACAAACTGTAGGTCCCATCTGTTCGTCGGCTGTAAGCTTGACTCACATCCGGCAGTGCAACTTGCTGCACTTCCGGTAGTGCAACTTGCTTTACTACTGGTTGTACAGCTTGCTGCACATCCGCTGTACATTTTGCTGTATTTCTGGTTGTACAGCTTGCTGCACGTCCGACTGTACAGTTTTGCTTTATGCACGTCCGACAGCACAGTTTGCTGCACTTCCGGTTGTGCAGCTTGCTGCACGTCCGACTGTACATTTTTCTGCCACTTTCGTTGTCAGCTTGCTGCACGTCCGACTGTACAGTTTGCTGCATTTCCGTATGTACAGCTTTGCTGCACGTCGACTGTACAGTTTCCTGCACTTCCGGTTGTACAGCTTGCTGCACGTCCGACTGTACAGTTTGCTGCACTTCCGGTTGTACAGCTTCTGCACGTCCGACTGTACAGTTTGCTGCACTCCGGTTGTACCAGCTTTGCCCTGCACGTCTGACTGTACAGTTTGCTTGCACTTCCTGTTTGTACAGCTTTGCTGCAAAGTCCGGCTGTAAAAACATCTGGAAGGCAAGTCAGGCGCACATTTATTTGAACTCGCGCAGGTGAAGCTTTTGGTGCAATTAAGCTTGAGCTTGTAGATTGTCGATGGTTTCCATTTTTGCTGTTTTCAGAACAATGTTTCCTTCTATTTAAAGGGAAAAGGCCAAGCCCATACTTAAATGCCAAATAATTGCGTTCCCTCAGTGGTGGCTGACCTTTTGTGTGTTCCAGGCGCCCCTTAAATAAGTTGAGCAAAAGTCCTCGTAACTGTATTCGGATAACATTTCAAATTTGAAAATTTCTCACTAGCCCTGACTCCAGTTTTTTCTTTAATACCCCGAAAACCCCCGACGATTCAAGCGGCCGTGTATCAAGTTGTGAGGCGTTTGCTCAAGTAGACCAAAACACGTGAATGCCAATTTGGCCTTACAACACATTCCGACACACTCTAAAGACACATGTGTTGAGTGGCCGTCAGCCCAATAGTAAAAGATTGGACGGTTTGACTTGACGCTCGTCTAAGTCGGGGTATAAAACCACGTCCGTTATCCAGGTCAAAAATAATTCAGACTCCATCCACCCATTCGGAGAAACGACCTATTGCAGCCTCCTAAAACCTTCAAGAATATCAGCCCTCACACGCTCGCCAGGATATCAATCATTGGGCTTTATGTAGTGTCCAATTAGCACTAACACAGGCCAACACAGTAATTGAGTTTTATTACTACTTGTACAGTTATAAACATTTTTTTCCCCTTTCATGGCAATGATTCGTCCACTTTTGGACATAGAGGAAACCCGGAACTCGTCAGCATTATACAAACGGACGGATCAGACAACAGACATGGGTCATTCAATTCATTGTTTTTACAAAGAACTCTAACTCTGAGAACCAATTTGAGATTTTTGACGGCGTTATCACTGCTCTTTCTTTTTCCGAGCCCTTGCATGGGCGCTCTTTCCGTCAGCTCAGGGTGACGCTTGACGAAGCCCCTGTACCAATCTTTGCCGGGTCGATTGTCTTTAAAAGGGCGTCTTACGACCATCGTTCATTCAAGGATCTTCTTTACCGTGGTCAACCAGTTCCTGCCTCGTCCTTCCATAGCCGATCCTGGACATGCTGACTGCCCATTCTGCCAGGCGGGTCTCCTCAGCCGGCGAGAGGACAGTGCGGGGACCTGTTTTGTTTGTTTGCGTATCTTCCTAAAACAAGTAGGAGTGTGATATGAACAAGGATAATAAACAATAGTGCACTGAGAACCATTTCATCACTTATAAAAAATTAATCTTTTACTGTCATTTATATAACAATAATGATTAAACGACATTTAAATGGCGTTTTAACAAATCAAATTACTAGCTAGAATTAGGAATTATATAAACTGGCCTGCTTTGTTCGCAAACTACAATGACCCGATGAAACGTACTTATTGATTCATAAAATTGTTCTAAATACCTTGATTTTATCATGCAGAGTCGTTTTCGGTATCCCGTACGACTTGGCCGCACAACTTAACGTAAGGCTCCCACCCTGAACAAGCTTGGCAGCCTCTGCCAGCACATCCGGGGTATAAGACTTTGCACCGATAGAACGGCTCATGTTACCTGTGAGATATGAATGAATGAATGAATTAATTAATTTTTCATTCATTAACCAGCTTGTTTGATTGTTTAATTTATTTATTGATTGATTGATTATTTATTAATTTATCTATTTATTATTTATTTATTTATTCATTTAGATCTATTTATTTATAATTTACAAAAACTATTAAATACAAATTAGAGTCCTCTAGCTTTTTTATTGATGTTTGTGTTTTCTTATTTGTTCGGAATTAGATCCTCGGTTAAGAAGTGAGAGGATAATTCCGAACAACCACGTGGCATGATCTACGTCTGTCCATTCTAGAACATTCTAATTTAAATGGGTGGGGAAGGGATACATCTACATACTTTCATACATGTTTACATTTAAACACAAAATACAAAACTTGCATCGCTTATCTACGCCAGCAGTTTCCTTAGCATGTACGGCTAAATATATGACAAAATTTATAGGACTTACCTCGATGATATCTTTCGCTTTTAAAGATGACAGGACGACCTTGGAATTGTAAACAACCGGAAGCAAACAATTATGTTCAAATATTTCGCGCCAAAAAACTTTAAAAAACGCAACCTTACTGTTATTTTTACGACCGCATATATATTGTTCGGAAATAGACATCGTTCGGCAAATGACGACCCCGCTGGTCTAGTTGGTTTTGTTTCGGAAAGGGTATGCTATTGATCTAAATCTGAACGATTAAGGTTAAATCACTTAATTTATACTGTACTGAATACGAATTCTGTGATGGCCGAGGGGTTAGTGTCAATAACTAGGAATCAGTGTTTTGCTGGTTCGATCCTGATGCGCGAACTTTTTTTTTTTTTTTTTTTAACAATGATTATCATATTTTATTAAGTGCTATGTAGAATTCTGTGTCAAATTAAAAATTTTTATCAAGCAAATTAACCTTTAATTGAAATAAAATGCAGTCTGTGTATGATTTTTTGTGGACAAGCATTTGTATATTAAAGGAAAATTTGTATTCTGCAGTGACTGAAATATTTTTATATTATATTAGCCCATTAATTAGCGCAGAAGCTGTATGTTTTGTCATTATTGTCAGTACTCACCGGATTTATTTATCTTACAGGATTTGGAGAGTTTGCTTTCCGAGCATTTTGGTGTGACGCCCGTTTCAACACCCTGGGGATCGCAGGAGAAGGTTGATGTATCTACCCTGTGTTTAGACTCGGACGAAGATGATCACGAGTTAGATGTTGATCAGCGGGTCCAAGACTACATAGACACACTTCCAGATGACACGACAGGGGCTTGCTTCTGTTACTAGTGACAGTGAGGGTGAAGCAGAAGTTGATTGTGATCTGCCCCAAAATGACGAAGACGTGAACAGAATTACCCTTTATCATAAGAATGGTTGTGGGTGCAAGAAAAACTGCATTAAACAGTTTACTATTTCTGACATTTTTGATCACATATTGAATATTAGGGAAATGGAAAAGCAAGATAAAGAAATGTATATAATGGCAACTGTAGTAAACAGCCCACAGAATGAATTGACAAAGCGCGGGAAGAAACGTCAGAAAGGTCACCATGACTTTTCATTAGTGGGGAAACCAGTGTGTAGGACTGTGTTTATGTTGGCCTTTGATATCAAGCGGAGCGCTCTTCAAAATATCCTAACACATGTTGATCAGCATGGTGTGGTTCAAAGAATTCACGGCAACAAAGGGAAAAAAACCTGTCAAATCTTTAAAGTTTGAAGATATTAAACATGCGGTGACATATGTTTCCCAAACTGCTGAAGACATAGGTATACCACAACCGGCTGCACCACGTGGATCAGACAACATACCACCAGTTTACTTACCAAGTGCTACTACAAAACTTGATATTCACAAGAAATACGAAACATTGTGCCTTGAATCTGTACCAACAAAAAGGGCTGTTCATTATAAAACTTTCTGCAACATCTGGAAGCAATGTTTACCACACATCAAAATTGCATCTCCACGCGACGATGTTTGTGCAACTTGTGAAAAATTAAGAAAAGTTGTGATGGATTCCAGAACCGAGGATGAAAAATTGCAGGGCACCGCCAATCTGAGAGAGCACATTGTCAACGCACAAAAAGAAAGAGAAGTATACAACAAATGCATTACATCTGCTAAAGGTTTGTTGGAGACTGGGGACAGGCGATATTCTCATTTCACCTTTGATTTCAGCCAGAATTTATCGCTACCTCACCATTCAAGACAGATGGGGCCAACTTATTTTATGACATTGCGCAAAGTGCAATTGTTTGGTGTACGCAATGACGGAACATCAACACAATACAACTTTCTTGTAGACTGAGACTATTGGCCCTGATGGTACTCAAACTCACGGACCTAACGCTGTTATCAGTATGGTAGACTGGGTGATAGAAAGGGACCATGCGGAGGGACCAACAATTTCACTACATGCCGATAATTGCCCAGGTATGTTCGTCTAAAGTGCCTTATAAATTTATTGAAATTATTTACTTAATTATTTATAGCAAAATGGCGTTTTGTAATAATTCATCACTCATTGCGTTATACGTAGAGCGTGCATGCATGCACGTGTGCATAAATTGTAAATTTAAAACAACAACACTGTTTTGCTACAAATTAGTTCAATACTTAAATGTACTTTGGTGATTATATGAATAACTTTTAATAGCACTTTCTATCGGTTCGTACAAATAATATTAATTATATGAACAATGCTGTTCATAGTCAGTTATCAAAGAAATACAAGTCAACTGATATTATATCACAAACTTTGTTCTTAAATTCAATTAGCATAAAATATTCTGAAACATAAATCTTCAACATGAAAAAATTGTTGTCTGCTGAAAATGTCGTCTGCTTTAATCCACTTTGCTTCAAAGTTGTAAGAAGCATTGTCAGTGACAAGCGTCTTGGAACCTGATTAAATGGCCTATCTCATCTGATTCAAAAATATGTTTTTAAAGGCTGTTAAACATTTTCCTGCAGATGGCGCAGGGTTAATAATGATAAAAGTCGGCAACCTTATCACACTTATTCACACACTGATATTCAGAATATTATCATAATAAAAACAAATATTGATGATTTTAATGTGAATTTGCGAGATTTAATTAGGTACCACATCTAATTAAACTCAACATAGTACAGTAGCTATTTTAATTTTTTTACTGTATTTATTTCTTTTTCAGGACAGAATAAAAACTACTATATGCTGGGATATTTAATGTGGCGTATTCTGTCTGGGCGTCAGGAGAAGATAGAATATATGATGCAGATACCTGGTCATGCTCGTTGCCATGTTGATGCTGGCTTTGCCCGCATAAAACAACTTTACCGCAGGACAGACACGGATGCTCTTGGCCAACTTACGGAAGTTGTAAATCAAGCATCATCTACAAGCCAGTGTATCCGTTACCCTACTTTGACATGGCGAGACTGGAAAGGATTTCTGAAAACGTACTTCAAACCGCTACAAGGCATCAGGTAATTTAAGAGTAAAAAGTACAGTTTTGCGTTTTTGTCAGCTTAAGTAAAGACATGTTGTAAAACATACTTGAACATAACGATGAAGTGCATACATTACAGTCAAACTTACATATAAAGATCACTCGGGTATGGTATGTGGTCTTTATTGACGGGTGGTCTTTATTTATAGGTTAAACACACTGCACTTTGAATGTGATAATTTGAAACAAAATATGTGGTCTTAGGGTCATGTGGTTCCTATTCAGAGGTAGTATCTAACATATGTTTGACTATACATGTTAAGTATAACATTTTATCATCTTAATTTAACAAATTTAATCCTTAAAGTGCTTCTATGGTTATCATCATAATACAAATTTTCATAATGACATTAACATGTATAGTTTACCCCTTTCAGAAAGTATCAATATTTTTGTATGAGCCGAGATCATCCTGGAATGGTGGTGGTTAAAGAGAGCTGCGATAAAGCCGAGGAGACGTTCTCCATCATGAAATCAAACAACTTTCAGTTTGAACGGGGACACTTGCCACAAGTACTGCAACCAGGTGGAATGTCTGCTGCACGACGCAGATATCTTTACAGCACAGTTCGGCCCTATGTGCGACCTATATTTCAAGATGAAACATGTCCAGGAGAGCCTTAGACAAGTTTTAATTAGAACACTCATGTTACCATGGCAACGGATAGAAAAGACATTATCCGACTCCTGTTATAATGATTTTTTATGTTATTATCTAATGGTTTCTATAAACAAGTATAATGAATATATTACAAACTACATGTATACCTAGTTGTACTTGTTTCAATTGCTTATAAGTTTCATATGAGGTATATTGAAAGATTTATTTCTACATGGTTATGTACATGACAGTGCCTTATCGCAAAAGGCTGTATCTCGGGTAACTTTTGAGATAATTTCAAAATTTCTTTTGCATTCTACAGGAAAATGATGATACTTGAATAATTGCCCATAACCTCAAATTCGATATTTTGGTCATAATTGCAGGTTTTTCTGGAGAACGGCTCATATATATATCAGATAACGCGTTTCAATCTCTTAATATCTCTTCCCTTTCTTCTGATCCAAGTGCATATGCAAGTGATGCTCTTTTAGACTTTGATAAACCAATGAAGAGAAATAAACCAAAATAAGTTGAATTAATAGAGAATAACATGCTACTGTCTTTTGATATCAATTTTATCAGGCGAGGCTGATATGGGCTAGAAAGGGGCGAGGCTTGCCGAGCCCTTTCTGCCCATATCAGCCGAGCCTGATAAAATTGATATCAAAAGACAGTAGCATGTTTTTCTATTTATCATGTAACACATAAAAACTGTCAAAATTACAAAATAATCTACTTTTAAATAGCGAATTTCGTAGAAAGGGGCATTTTTGTTCAAAGAAATAATTCTTGAAAACAAATTCCTCCGCCCCTGAAACTTAGAATTTGTAAATGGCGGCCATTTTTTCTTTCGACTCGAGATTATTTCCTGTGATAAAAGATACAACAGAATGTAACACGATAAAATTCTTACCTTTAAACATCGATCCAAAAAAATCCCTAAGAATCACATAAACTTTACTGCACTTTTTGTCTTGAATTGTCAAATTCAAAAGTTCACGATAATTTCAATCAAACAAAAGTCAAATCGGCAATCAAACACAAGCTACACAAACATGCCTCTTATTTTTTAAACGAAACAATTTGTTCACTTATTAAATAATAATCCGGCGCAATAAAGTAAACATTTACAAACACAAGTTCTCAAAAAAAATCGTCTAGCCTGTTTGTTTACATGATTACATGTATAGTATGACGTGAACATCGATGATGTCATTTGCAACATAAATTATGACGTCACAACATTGAGTTGGTGCTTAACTATTCGCTATCTAATTTATTCGTAATTGAAATCAAAATTGAAATAATAAACAAATAAATATGGCATCTTGATTCAAGACTTGTTAGGGTATGAGATTACATTGTAGAATTCACATGCTGATGAAAATGAGAATATAAGCAATTGAAAAAAGTCCGTTAAAAATGGGCGGGGCTTATTTTTGATATCAGGTTACTGACCTGATATCAAAAATAATTATCAGGCAAGTGTTATCGGGCAGTTACCATAGCGGTTGCATGATAATATGAAATATATCCATAAAGATCTAACTATAAGTTACAATTTAATAGAGATATATACATGTACCTAATAAGGCAGATAGAACATTTTGATGCGAACAATTTTGTCACATAACACCAGATTATTAATATTGAGAGAAAGAGTCCTGAGAATGAGTATTATTTGATTTTATTAGCCGTCTCTGTTCATATTTGCAGACAAATGAAAAGCCAATAATCAAGTTAATAAAACTTATTGTGCATACGTATTCTAAACCTAACTATTAAGTAATATACAATTCTTTTATTGTATTCTATTACATGTCTTTTGATTGCATCTGATATTGCAAAGATCTCAATATTTATTTAAGTATCTCCTCTTTAATAGGAGAATGAAAATGACCTTCTTTAAAGATGTCTTTTACAGCATCCGTCTGGTTGGCATGCGTCATTGAACGCCGTCTTTCCTTGTTGATCATGTTTATCATGTTCTTTAATCAATTTAACATCAATGTTCTCAACTTGCGATACACAGCCTTTGCAATATGAAACAGTAGTCGTATAATTTTTACTCATGTATATAGTATCTAGTTTTTGAAAAGCTTCCGTTAATATTTCGTCTGGATCTGATAACTTGATCATCTATTATATTCCATTTAGTACGGTCAAAATTTGTACCACACTTTTTAACAAATTTACCATACGCCATAAATTGTTGAATGAGTTTCCGTGATTGGGATGTACCTTGGAATCTGAGTTTCCCGTTTGTGAAGTTTTGTTTTCCTAATCGGTTAGCTCTGATTTTCTTACATTTTCTGCAGAAAATGAGCATTTTCAATATCAAATAAAAAAATACTTGTAAATTTAAAGAAAAATCTAAACGGTTAAAGTTTTAAAAAAATCAATTTCAAATTGGCATTTTCTGTTTTAAGATCGGATGAATATCCTTATGCACCATGTTATTTTAGTGAACCATATCAAAGACCAATGATTTAACTTCCCGATCGGGAAATTTGTCACTGAATAAAGTAACAATTTTCTCGTTCGGGAAGTAGGGAATACCCAAATTCTTACTTCCCGAATGTGCAATTTCCCTCTTCTGATACTGTGTCGGTGTGACGTTGAATCCAATTAAACAAGCAAATAATTCATATAAGTTTGCCATTTGTATAGGTTTAAATAAAATATCAAATTTGTACAAAAGATATCAAAATACAGAAAGCACAGGGGATATGCACGTAACTTAAAGGAAAAATCATATCAGAAAAATCAGTATTTTACCTGTATTTATATAACATTTGTTACGTTAATCTTACTTGCTGACCCCCTGTGACAAAAAGTAGGTATTTTAGTTATTTTACAATCAAATGCATATAGGTTAAGAGAATCATCTAATATGTTTATAGTTTGAATTATTCATTTTACTCAAAAAGACGCTTATACGTAAGATAAAGGCATACTCGGTATCAATAGAATTTGTAATAGCCAATCAAATTGAATTTTCCATAAAGATGGTACATGAGAAATGTAAGTAGAGCATGTGCAATGCATGACAGCAAGCTTGGCTGAGGACAGTTGGAGCAGTATTACAGATATCGATAAAATATTACGTTGTTTCAGTGATACCATGTGGACAAATGTTTGGTAGATGAAAGTTTGAGAAATAGGTATTTTACATTTGTCTGAATATACCTGTGTGTTTGGATGTGGACGACTTGATAAAAGCATATCGTGCACAGAGACCTCTGTCAGCCAGAAAGTTTTATTATTTCCGTAGATCCTCTTTAGGAAATGTTTTAGAAGAAGTAATTTTGGGAAAAAAGTTGTTAACAAGTTTGTTTGGTTATGTTTTTCAAACCCTGTAAGAGTCCAATAGTAATGATAGTAGCATTTTCTTGTATACAGACATCTCAGCTATCTGCTAATGGAAATGATTTATTGTTATATTAAAAAGATAATAATAATAATAGAAGAAGAAGAAGAAGTAGTAGTAGTGGTAGTAATAGCAGCAGCAGTAGTAGTAGTAGTAGCAGCAGCAGCAGCAGCAGTAGCAGCAGCAGCAGTAGCAGCAGCAGCAGCAGCAGCAGTAGTAGCAGTAGCAGTAGCAAATATAGTTATAGTAATATAGAAAGACCTTTCCGGCCAACCGTTGATGAGAAACTTTTAGTACACATCAAACTAATGCTGTATAAAAACAACAACAAAACAAACAGACTTAATTGATATCTGTTCTACCCATCAGAGATATTATAGTACCCGAATATTGCATAGTCACGATTAAATATCTATGACAATCAGTAACGTACTAAACCATTTACGCTCTTTATATCTAAATGTATCGTATTTTAAATCAAATTGTACTTATTTGTTTTAAACTACTTTGGTCTGATAATCGACCAATTAAAAAAAACAACGGGTTAAACTAGTATGTTGATATTGCCATTAAGACTTTATCAAGGTTCATAAATTTATTATAAATATGATTACAAGAAGATATATTAAAGTTCCCTACATTTCAAATGACAGTGCAATCTTGTTCGAAACTAACGTAATTGTAAAACGTTTATAAATAGAACTTAATTTAAGTATACCTTAATCATTTCAACGTAAATAACAAGACATTATATTAAAAAAAGGTTTATTTTAAGTGACATAAATTACATTATGATAGAAGTGCACAACATTGTAGTAGTTTTTTTCATTTGCTTATTAGATACTTATTTTTACAAAGTGTCTGATTAAAGTGACATTAGGCTCATTTTTCTCATTGTCAAGTCGAGCTGCTGACTTGATTATATATCAAAAGATTGACTGTTATAATAAAGATTGACCTACAGTGGATAGTTTAAAATTTTAAGGACAAAATATTCATAATGTCTAATTTATCAAAAATATTGTCCCACATTTTTTTATAAATTGAATGTTACAGATTAATTCTGATAGTTATATATATATAAACTTCTTTGTGTTCCGTGAAGAATTTATCTGTAATGCTAAGTAATTATGACAACATGTAAAAGTATTTTGCGTTTCAACTGTACACTCACTTTATAGATTTCCGTATAATTGAAGAACAAACATTTTATGTCACATGTACAGTGATATTACTTAGGAGCGCAGATATATAGATAAGAAAGAAAATTCACGTACGCTTAAGCACGTTTGACCTGCGACGTCATTATAATGGCCCTGCATTGTTTGACACAGATTAAATTTTTTATGGTATTTAGAATGTACCGGGGACTAATCCTGAGTTGACGCACATTTTGCTGCGACAAATTAAAGAAAATAGACCTATTCTGTGTTTGTTTGTCTTGGTGGAGGAGGGAATAAGATTTTGTGCCTCTCCGTGCAATATTTCAGGTACGAGAGGACACCTGAGTATGTAGAACCATCGTTAGGAAGCTTTATTGCTCCTTCGCATGACAGAAGCCGAAGTCTGGGGGGATTCCAATGTAAAGCGCTGACGAGCAAGTGATTAGAATCAACGACCCTCACGGCCAGGTCATGGTTTCACTTACTACATTATAATAGCATAATAATTATTAAACACATTCTTGCAAATAGTGAAAACTAAATATATTTTGTTTGACGTAAGCATTGTTAGTTTGTTACCATTATCATCTTTTTTAATAAAAAAAAATTCATGACTGTACCGAAAACAGTTACACAGACAACTGTTTTAGGTATCAACTTTTGGATTAATGGTATGTGTGGAGATACCATATTATTAAAAAGCCGGTTGTAGCGGTTTCAAACTCAAACAAAGAAAATTTTAAAGCAGATACTATAAAGCGTAATATTTTCAATTAATTCATGTAATTAAGAAGTGCCAGTAAGAAACAAAAGACAAAATTGTATCTGCTATTCACTGGCGACTTGTTAGAATCAATAGCCAAGATAAGTACAAAGTCTTCCTGCTCTGTTAATCTTTCGGGCTCGAATCCAAGTCACCAAAACCAACTGAGGATATCAGGTTTTGAAAAAAAAATCAAGGGTATATAAAACATTTAATTATTATATTTGTAATAGTACTCGTCAATCAAATCGTCTCATTTGCAAACGAAAATGCAGATTTATAGTTTTAATGGGTTAGATATTTTGAAAAGGTCTTTTTTAGAGTTGGGAAAAGCTTTGTAAGGAGTTTAACGTAAATCTGACGGAAGTGTTTTAAAATGGTCGGGAAATTTCATAAGGAGCTGATAATTTTAACAATTTAATCATTTTCTTCAAGTGATCTGATTCAATGTTGCACATTTCCTTTCTTTATCATTGTTTGGATTGTTGGATTATTCTGATCATTAGGCTACTGTAAGATTCTTAAAACTACACAATCATATTAAAAGTTTTGAAAAGAATTTATACATTTCTTTAATTAAAAAGGTAAAGAAATAAATAATTGATACCACTTGTGTCCTGTGTAAATGTAGTAGACTTACGAAACAAGGTTTAAATTGTATTTTTTTTCTAACAGGACGTTGTGACAGATGTAGTTTTTAACACATCAATACAAGTAGCTGCACCACAATTATAAACTAGTAAATAAAAAAGGAATGGCAGAGCGTAAGATCCTTACACGACATAGCGTGAGTTCTTTGTCTTCAGTTGAATCGAAAGATCACATATCTTTGCTAGAAAAGATAAGAAATATATTCAGTCCACCTAGAGTAAACTTACAGAGACGCATTGAGGAAAATGATGTTTTAACGACGGGCAAGAAAACACGTCCGTTCGTAAAGCGTTATTTGACTTCTGAAGATATCGGTAAACCAGAATATGGATGTAAAAATGGAAACGAACGATCTTATGAGGTGCGAAATAAAACACAAATTCCCAAATGGCAAGAATTTGATAAATCGGAAGATGGTTTAAATTATTACGGCGGGCCAAGGCATGACAAACAATCCACTTACATTTGCGAAAATGAGACGACGAATCCTAACCGGCCTCTAGTAACACTTGAGAAAACAAACCTTCATTCATCATCGGATTTACATAGAATCCATTCGGGGAACCCAACACATTTATTTCCTTCGTTACTAAAACATGATGAAGAAAATATTAAGATAACTGAAAATAATGGCGTTGACTCTATCGAAGATATGGACGCAGATATAGAAGATGAAAAGATCGACAGCCACAAAATGACAGTTAGAAATGGCACAAACAAGCTAGTCATGCTGAGTAAAGACCATAATGATCTGAAAAGATTGTTTGTGATAACTATCATTCTGTTTGTTTGTGTAATAATGGTATTATCAGTGGTACTAGTAACAACCAAGTTGACATATGAACGTGATATGCCTTTTAGTGCTGACGATATTAAAGACATTATTGACGAACATTTATCTTCGTTAAAACAAGTCAGAAATGACGAAATTAAACCGATTGTTGAATCACATTTGTCGTCGACAACGGTTAAGCAAAGCATAAGAACGTCTATATATTGTGTGCCTTGTACAGGTATTGATAACACAGTTGCCAAACATTTTGTGAAATCCGACGAGGATGAATGCTGCATCAAGGACATGACCCTGCTTTTAAGAATGATCTCGGAATTAAATGATAAGGTACGTTCGTAACGTGAAATTATGCCTTTATTATACTCAAATTAACCTTCAAATTGTGATTACTAATATGATAATGTCTTTAATTATGACTTTTCTCACTGACAGATTCAGTTTTTGTAATACATAGACTCAGTTCAGCGAGTTTTAGCTGCAATTAATACGATATATAGAGCATTTTTTCATGTACATGTATAATGCTATTTTGTATATTTTAATAATCGGAAATGTTGATTTGATTTTCAGACTACTAAAGAATGTGCATCAAAGCTTAACATTTTAGAGCGAAGTAAGTATTGAGCCTTGTCACATTTTTATTGAATTTATATTAGTAGCGGTATGAAATACAATAGTTGCATTAATTTCTATTAGTTTGAATAATTTAAAAACAGTTAAGGCGAAAATAGTATATAGGCAATTCAGTACATTTACGTAAGTAAAGTATTGGTAAGTTACTGTCGCTGTCGTTATTTAAAGTTATGTCGCCATAAATCAAATATCTTTTAAGATTACACGATGAAGTTAAGTAAAAAAACAATGTAAATTAGTTTACCTGTACATTAAATTAAGGTATAACAAGTTTATTGTAAATGTGAATTATTTTCATTTATAATTATATTTTTATTAATTGTATTTCTAAAATCTTTTAGATCAAACCAATATGTTATCATACATCGCGGATCTGCAAATGAAGGTTTTTTATGAAGACGATGTGGTAGCGAAAGAATGGCCAAAACATCCGGGTATCAAAAAGAACAATGTACTGATCAACTCCCTTCTCACACGCCGTCGTTCAGCAATACACCTTACAGGAAACAGTACGTTTGTTAATATGTGTGATTTACTTGGTTTTATAATGTTTATTATCTATACTAAAATAACATGTACTATTTATAAGAAGAATGGCGGTTATTTGTTATTTAAACGTGATTTTTTTTAATGAAATAGACAAAACGTGGAAGGCGTGTTTTTTTTTAAATTAAACTAATTATATATATATTTGAAATAAAGAAAGAAATGATACAAGGAACTGTTATAAAGTAATTTTAGAAGATTTGCTTTTTCATACAAGTATACATAGTTGACTTTATGTTTCTATTTTTAAGTTAAGAATGGCGTTCTACAGTGGTCATCTGAAATGTCCGAAGGAACGCTGTCTCATTTGAATGATGTGATATATGTACAAAATGGCGGAATGTATGTTGTTTATTGTATAATCCGTTTCAAAAAGGATGCTTGTGGACCAGAGGGGTACGTATTTTTAACGGACACATTAACTATGACATTTGAAAAAGACTTGAATCATACAAAATTTAGAATTTGAACAATTGTACATATATTTTTTCTTAAAATTTCTGATAAACCTACATTGTTGGTATTCATTTTGTGTTCTTACAAGTACATATTGTACATTTGACATTTTTTTAATATTCTCAGTACTTTTGTTCACAGGAAAGTAGGCTATACTATTAAGCATAGGAGTGATATGGGTCCAGTAGTACAAATTGCGTCCGTCTACAAGAATTGCTTCAACGAAACATACTATGACACCGAACTCTTCATTCAAAAATCATTTAAACTATCCGTCGGACAAAACAGTGAAATTTATTTTGATACCGGTAATCTGGAAAACAATCTCATTGACAAGGACAGTCAACAATCGTTCGGTGTGTTTGAACTATGATCTCGTGCCTATTAGTTTTTTTGTATGTGTAGTGTCCATTATGTCTGAAAGAAATGTTCATAAATCTTCTCAATGCTTTTTTTGAATATGCTATTATTTAATTCTTTTTTTTTTATATAAACATGACTATTATTTTGACTTGTATTACACATGAATTTCTTTTTTTTACACCCTGTCCTTAATAACAGGGCTCAACAAAAGACATTCATTTTAATTGTAATATTTCATGTGTGTATTTATTCATTTCAAATTTGAATTTTGATATAACTTTAAATAGTATAGTGTCAGAATACCATACATCTCAAGGTTGACTGCATACCCAGGGTTGCAATAGCCTATAGTTAGTGGTTAAGGTACCGAGGGATCGTGGGTTAATGTTGCCCAAAACAATAAGGTCCTGATTTTTCTCTTTCTTTATTTGTTGTTTTTTAATATCATAATTTCTATTATTACATGTATTATTTATTTATTTATTTATTTATTTATTCACGAAGCGGACTCACAAAAAATGCAATTATGTCAGTGACTGAATAAATTCAATAAATAATGTTTTAAGTTTAATATCCATTTAAACATCTAATCTTTTTTTGACTTTGTTAACAATTTGTTGACTATTATCAAAAAAATTAACTTTACGTATAATTAACTTTTATTCAATTAAAAAAAACACACTTTTCTGTTACAGTGCTATATGACCTAAATTGCGTTGGTGCGACATAACACCTGACAAAACAGTTCACGTACTTTTATTTTCAAATGAATCATATTAATAATACAACGAAAAACAATACTAGATACTGTGTAACTGGGTGAGCAGTTTTTACGCAAGAATAATTGCTTTTTTATCTATTTCACTTCAGGATTTAAAAAGTAGGGCTATAATTATATTAGGTCACAACAAGTCAATTGAATAATATAGTTTTGTGTAATGTGATCTGCTATAACGTTTATTTTGTACTTTTTTGACTATAATAATTAAGATTTATATTTAGTCGTTTGGCAAACTATCAGTTGATTACAATCAGTTTAGTATAAATAGTAATTGCTTACTTAATAAGAAATCGGTACTTCAATGTGACAATTGACCTATATAAAATTTATGTTTGCTCACATTGAAAAAACACCAACGCGTTGAAAATTATACGTCAAGGTGAAACTTCGTTCAAACTGTACACATCATTGTTTTGTCACAAAATGTAATTCGTTATGACCTTAATGTGTTTTTGAAACCAACAGCCTTAAAATGATAACCTCATACTTGTTTTGATCAGCAATAAATTACTGCTTAAATGACTTTTTTTATTTTTCAAACCAGGAAGTCTATTGCAGATACAGTAATATTGAACACGGTGTTTGAAACTTTAATAAATGTTAATGATTCGGCTGGGTAAATTTTGTGAATCTTATTTTGTTATGCGTACATAATGATTTCACACTTACATGACTTAAGTCTCTAATAAAAATATATACATGCATACCTTTTTATTTTTTATTAGTTTTACTTTTTAGTGCTTTTGAAAATTTAGATTCAATCTTTAATAAATAGTGTGTACAAAAATAAAGCGATAATAAAGATAACCGAACCATTACATCATTAAGTATTGTCCTTAATTTACTTACATGTGTATTGTTTGTATCTTTATATTTATCAGTTATCACACAGTAAAAGGGGAACCATTTAATAAGCATTTGCACACACATTCAAAATATCATGTTGGGTCTAAATCGTTAGCAATACCACTGGTTTTTATACGTAAAACACATTTCTGTGAATAGGGTTATTTAAACTTTGAATTTTCTTTAAAAAAATGCTATATTTTGTATGAAATTGATGTGAAAAACACTTGCATACAAAAGAATTTTTTATGTAAGTGTTATTTGTAATATCTGGACATTCCCGGTACAAAGTACCTCCCGGTATAAAGTACCTAACTTTAATTGCAATGTACATTGGCACAGTTTTCAACTAACTCGGAAAGGTTAACATAAACCAGGAAACATTGTCAGGTCAAGGTTAAAATGCATTCAATATTCTTCTTGCCAATAACAAAGGCATGTCATTAAAAAACCCAAGCACCTTTGTCAATTATTTGATGCATTTGTTGGCTTCATAGCGATATATGTAAAAGTAATGAAAATGAGAGAATTTAATTAAAATTCTGAACAAATAAATTGACAATGTATGATGTGTAACAATGGTGACTTTGAAGATGAATATCATTTCATTTATTTCGGTTTAGATTATAAATAAATCCGAAAACTTATGTTAACATTCCCATTCTACAGACCAAGTGTTCTTAGACTTACATGTAAACTTTTCTGCAGTAATTAAACTATACACATTTATACGAAACAAAACATTGTAAACAACTATACTTAGGCCACATTTTAGGCCGTTTCCAGTAAATATTTACGTATACATGTATATTTATTCTTATACAATGTACTTATTTACACATTATATTTGGTTTTGCCATGATTTTAACATCTGATAGTGTGGTGTTAAGGTATTGTGAAAATGCCCGTGTAAGATTAATAGACATTTTATATGTTCTCGTGTGCACATATTGTTGAAATTGTACATATAGTTCATCCTCTTGTATATTTGCTCATTAAGTTAACATGTGTTCAGTAAGTTTTCAACCATCCATGTTTGTTCTGTATTTGCCATGCGTGGTATGTATATACACTGTAATTATGTTAATTGTATCATGTAAAAAGAAACATTATTTGTGTATGTTCCTTAATAAAGAATATTGAAACCTGTTTCCTGTTATGAGGGGTGCCCTTGTAAGCTAAGTAACTAAGTAAGTAAGTAAGTAACTAACTAACTAACTAACTAACTAAGTAACTTACTAACTAATTAAGTAACTAACTAACTTACTAACTAACTAACTAACTAACTAATCAACAAAGTAAGTAACTAACTAAATAACCAAGTAACTAACTAAGTTATTAACTAAATTACTAACTAAGTAACTAAGTAAGTTACTCACTAAGTAACTAACTTACCAACTAACTAACTAAGTAAATGACTAACTAACTAACCGGCTTGTACCTCAAGGTTTGTAGCATAACCAGTCTTCACTATGTCTAATGGACACAAAGTCAGATTACTGTATCATAACATGGACATCGATTGGTTGCAAAAGGTGCAGGAAAACCGTTCGATCGAATGGGGCATCAGGTGATTGGTTTACAAGTATAAAAATTATTTTTAAGAAACTATCACTGCATTGGTTTCTTAAGTAAATGAACTGTTTTATAAGTGTCTAGGATAGATAGTTTCTCATTTGGTTTTTGCATTTTAAAAAAGGATATTTCAGTTGTCTTTCCTGTCATCAGCAGAAAATTTTGGTTAAAAGGTGGGTTGGGGTAACCGTCTTATGGGACATTTTGCGAAAATTTGGTCGGTCAACCCAATATGACGAGATCATTTTTATGTGTCAGGCATGTCATTATTCTAGAAAAATCACATCTTTAGCATGAATACTCAATTTTAAGGTTGGCTGTTTTCATTTCTTATAATTTAAGTCTAAGGGGGGAATTAATACAATAGTCTGACCACAACGATAATATTTGATCACATTAATTCTCTTGTTCCTATGTAAAATAACCATTTTATATCACACGTGTTGTATAATTACCCTTCGTTCCAGATACCAACAAAATTTCTCCGCATTCATTTCATAACAGTTAATACAATTGACAACTCATTATGCTTTTTTGTATGACACTTAATGCGTGACCAAAGGGAGGTAAAAAAGTATAATATTTCAACCAGACAAACAGGTCCTGTCAGAGGGGAATAAATCGTATATGCAGATATGATATTGCATTTTAAGCTGCATGCCTGAATATGGGCCAAAATATTTCAAGAAAATTACACTGGAGAAAGAAGTACAGAGCTTTTAAGAAAAGTAATAAAGTTCAAGATTCAAGTAATAATTTACATGTTGTGTTCGAAAACTGCAGTATTTATTACCAATTTTTAATGCGAAACTAACACATCAAGGGCTATTGTTGCATGTTTTGGCATCTTTTTTCTGTTATTTATGTGGATTGTAATTCTAAGCAATTACCTTGTCCTTATTATTCAGTATATTTTTCTTTATGTATTTTGTGTGGTCTGTACAGCAGCATTTCTTTACTGTTACATTTGCAATAAAAAACATTATTTAGGTTTAGAAATACCATATGGTTACTATAAGTACATGTACGTATTTTCTAAATTCCTAAGGTTATTTTTACATGTCCATAGTGCACGCAATCTCATTCAATTTTGAAATAAGAATGTTTTTTTAGCATAGTCGAATTTGTGCTGACTTGTAATTTCGCCTTGGCTTTAATAATTTTGATTGATAAAATGAAAGTAAATTATGTGTTCACTACTATAAGTCTGTCCGAGAACAGTTCTGCAAAATATGCAGGGAAAACTAAAGTAGGCCTGTCAAATTTCTCGGATACCCATTGCATAATTTAACAATTGATAATTTTTACACTGAGCGATATAATCAGGAATATCGGTTACATGCAAGATATTTTTGGTGCCACTTATTACGTGAAAAATTTGCAATTTTTGCCGCCTTAGCGCACACACATTAAAATGTATTACTGTAAGCTTGTAAGACTTAAATTCTCCATACGTTTCCGCTTTATTTGATCTTATTTGATAAAAAATAAAGAATTTTGGTCATTTTGAAGATTCGATTAATAAACTTTTTTGCTGCTTGCCATTTTACCATAATTTTACCATAAAAAAATGATGTCATAGTAACGTGGTACTGGTACACCGAATTAGAAAATCACAAATGACTGTAGGTCACAGAGCTTTTGTGCGATGGACTGTGCCTGTTTGCATGGTCGTTATTCGTACAATGCACCTTTATGAACATATTGCAAACAATATATAGAATAACCTTTAACGTGCACTTATATTTATGTATTCTTCTCTGTAGAAAGATCTTTACAAACCAAATATTAGAAAACTATTATACCTCGCGTAAACTGTTTACTATATAGCCTAATGTGACGTTACATGGTGTTATTTCAATCTATCATCCTGGACAATCATTTTTCATTGGCGACGCCGGTGAGCGGCGTCGTCTCTTATAGAATGCTTTTTATTTTGGCCTATTGAAGGAGCTATTATTATTAGCAGTTGATGTCATGTTGTGTAAATTAGTTTTATTTTGATTCGTAAAAATAAAGTAAACAAATATGTTGTTATATTTGTATATAATAACTTCATGTAAAAGCTTGTGCATTGTGATATTATTTTCAAGAAATTGCAGGCTCAATTTAACAGCTTGTCCATTAGCTTTATTGGCCATTCGGAACTGCCTCGGCTATTATCTATAATAACCTCGGAAACAATACGGATTGAAA